ATTACCTCTGTTTACCAACTTCCCTCTCCTCCCCTTTCTTCTTTGGTTTTCTCCCTCTGCTACCACAGTCACTTTTACCTTAAGTAGCTCAGTAAAGAGCAATAAAGAGTCAACAGCATGGCACATATTAACCTTGTGTGTCGTGTGAATATCAGATACCGGCATGATTTTACCTTTAGGCTGCCAGTGTTTGTATAGCAACTGATTATGCATGAACCTGAAGTTGTGTTTCCGTTTGGTTCCCATGCTTTGCCTGACCTCCAGTACTTTCTTAAAAAAGCGAGAGAGAAAAAATTGTACTGAGGAATTAATTTATTGAAAATAATTTCCCAAATTCCCAACAAGAATTATTAGCCTCCCCGTACATCAGGCTTACAGGAAGCTGGCATTGCAATGTGCAGTTGGACATTAAGGCAGCGTCATCCACATCATGACCAAAGGCAGTACAAGGGATTCCTGTTTAAAATGCATTAACCTCATTCCTTTCTCCCGTGTTGTCATCCAGAAAAGATTTAAAGCAGAGAACAAGACCACAGCTCATCTTTCTCAGGTTCCTTCAGAGCAGTGAGTAGGGGTTGCATTGTGTGCTGGCTTTTTTTTCACCTGGCTTTGAGCTAATGGCTCGTTCTCCTACGGGACCCTATGTGAATAGCTCAGTGTGGATTAAACTGTATTGCTGTTTACATTACAGGCATGTCAAAATGCAGAAGTGACCTTTCAATAGGTGCTTTCTTTTGGAAAGGGGAAAGGAAGATAGGAAAGTTTGATGTGCTGTAGCAGGCGAATGCTGCCTGGGGCACATCTCTAAGTGGGGAACACATGGCCCGTTGTTCTGCAAGATCAGTGGGTGACGTGCGTCATCTGGTGAAGTAGATCACCAGTGCTGGGATGCATACCAGCAGTGCTGATCCACTCCATCTATTTCTAGCTTCAGTCTATCTAAATTCAGTGAATCAACCACCTGTCTCTAGTAGGACCAACCAAAACACCAAATCCAAACATCCCTGGGCTCGAAGGTTCCCATTGTGGGTGAGAGTCAAACTCTGGCTGGGTTCTTTGAGCCTGCTGTCGGCTCAAAGAACAGGGTTTAGGACATGGGAGGGTAGAGACAAAGGATGTGGCTGTTTGAGAGATGCAGTGCAAGACCTTCTTTGCAATCATATGCATCTCATTACTTTAACCACAGCAAAAGCTTCTTAAATTTCTGCTGAGTTATGATAGACGGGGTAAGTTGAAGTCTGCCTCAGAATTAATCATTGGGGCAGATGTTGGAATTTACATCATGAATATAGCAGATTCTGATTCATTTTAAAATGTAACAATCTTCCCTGAAAATTGCTACGCTCTATAAAAGATCAGAAAAGTCACCCCGTGCTCCAGGTTCCCTTGTTTTGATGTTCATAGCTATAAGATTAATGTTTTACTGAGTCAAGACAAACTAGGTGATCTTACATGCATACTCCTTGCTGATGAATTTCAGGAATTTAGGACCACCATGACTTTTAGTGGGCCTCTCCTGTGTTTCAAGTCAAGTTGGCTGGAATTTGGTTTTTTTTTTTTTTGGTGACACAGTTTCTTGGCAGGAAATGGTAATGTATGAAGGTTGAAAATTTTCCCAGAAACATATTTTTTTCAAGTAAACTTAAAATAAAACTTGTCAGCATGGTTAATCAGGTGCAGAATAGCACATGCCCCCCAAAATAGCCAGTGGCCCAATCAGCAGGGACATTTGAGACCCAGGTCCAAGGTGTTGCACCAGATCAGATGAGCAGAGACCTGTGTCTCCCACCTCCTACACGAGTGTCTTTGATACCCATCCCGTTGGCTTTGGGGGAGGGTGGGCATCTCCCACCTCCTACACAAGTGTCTTTGATACCCATCCCGTTGGCTTTGGGGGAGGGTGGGCATCTCCCACCTCCTACACGAGTGTCTTTGATACCCATCCCGTTGGCTTTGGGGGAGGGTGGGCATCTCCCACCTCCTACACAAGTGTCTTTGATACCCATCCCGTTGGCTTTGGGGGAGGGTGGGCATCTCCCACCTCCTACACGAGTGTCTTTGATACCCATCCCGTTGGCTTTGGGGGAGGGTGGGCATCTCCCACCTCCTACACAAGTGTCTTTGATACCCATCCCGTTGGCTTTGGGGGAGGGTGGGCATCTCCCACCTCCTACACGAGTGTCTTTGATACCCATCCCGTTGGCTTTGGGGGAGGGTGGGCATCTCCCACCTCCTACACAAGTGTCTTTGATACCCATCCCGTTGGCTTTGGGGGAGGGTGGGCATCTCCCACCTCCTACACGAGTGTCTTTGATACCCATCCCGTTGGCTTTGGGGGAGGGTGGGCATCTCCCACCTCCTACATGAGTGTCTTTGATACCCATCCTGTTGGCTTTGGGGGAGGGTGGGCATCTCATTCATGTTTCTTCATAACAATGCAAGAGTCTTATTTTCTTTTCCATGGCAATTAAAACCAATCTGAAAATCCTGAAATTGTTGAAAAACAGAATGCTTTTCTGAACAGCCCTATTTAGCAGTGTTTTTGCTTTTGCCGCGTTTAAACCAGTTAATGGCCCTGAACAATCTGCACCTCGAAGGCAATGTTTGGATAAGCTTCTGGTAGATCCTAGGGAAACCCATTTCTGCATGTTTTGGCATAATCATATACATAGAAAGAGTTAAGTTTAGGGGCCCAGCATTTTCCTTTATACACTCTACAAGAAATGTCCTTCTAATTCTCCTAGCTCTCCTCTAGCTGCTTCCCCTCTGGGCTTTCTCCAACAGGAAGACTTAACAGGCGGGTAAAGAATATACATGCCCAATTACAAACAAAATCTTGTTTAAATAGGAAAGAAGGATCTTGCTTAAAATAACTTTAATAGACTACTTCCTGCGTTCAAACAAAAGTGCCCCTTTGGAAGGGCATCTCATGTTCCAGCCAGGCTGGGTGAAGGGAAACGTGAAATTTAGAGCTCTGACCAGGTTGTTTAGGAGCCAGACAGCGTTAACAGTACTGAGTGTTGCTACTGTCCTCCGAGCGGCAGTGAATATTCCCATAGAAAGGTGAAGCGTGAGAGATCAGTGTATAGCGTGGTGTGTGGGTTGTTTTTTTTAATTTTGTTTGGGGTTTTTTAATTGGGTCATACTGTAACAATATAATTGTTGTTGCTTGGTTTATTATGCCGGCTTTATACATGACAGAGATTGCCTCTAGGGGTAGGCAAACTGGTTTTGGGTGAAATAGGAATCCTTCTCCCTCATCCCTACCAAACTTTTGTCTAATACTGTACAGTACTTCAAACTGGGCTTTTTCCCTCAGTTGGCCAAATAGAAACATTGGATCTGAAGGGTGCAACTCAGTCCAAGTCACCGGGCTTTGTGCCACTTCACACCGCTTCTGGGTTTCCCTGCCATCTGCCTATCATCTTTGCAAAAGCTGCAGTATGAAGCCGTAGGAATGCCAGCCAGAAATGTGTCTGGTCTAGTAGCTGTTATTCACAGGAACTATTTCATACGCTGCATGGACTGATGAAATACAGCGTGTCTCTGCTAGTTCCTTACCATAGTGATCATTTGGTTATTCTAAGCTAGTGATTTTCAACAGGGGTGACGTGAAATCCTTTAAAGGGTGCCGCAGGGTGCCACACAATATTAGCATTATTAGTATGCAATTACACATTATTCATAATATAAACACAGCAATTTCGCATAGAAATCCACAGCATCCAAAGCATTCTTTCCTGTTGTCGTCTTCTTGAGTTCTTTACAACAAAAGAGTTGCTCTATTATTTTCCCATAGTCAAAAAGTGAGTAAAAGCTAAGAGCTGGCATTTTGCAAGACAATTCAAGCCTAAAAAGTTTGAGAACTACTGCTCTAAGCCTTATGAGCTGATTGCAACTGCATCATTCAAACAGCAGCTGTTGCCTTCAGAATTTCTATGGAGTTTTTGGGTTTTTTTTCATTTGGAAGAAAATGTAGCAGTAGACCCAAGAAACACTTTTGAAGAAGATAGCTTCTGGAAGAGTTACAAATGTACAAGGGGTTAATTTAATTGTGCAACCCTAATTATGTTGGTAACCAACAACCCAAAAAGTGGAGAAAGTATCAGACAGGTGTATGTGACTTACACATAGGTAGATCTTAATTTTATCAGCTCCAAGTTAAGATCAGATCGCTTGGTCATTTTTAAATCTTAGTTCTAACGTAAAAAATAGTCAGCTCTGTTACCCGCTTGTGGGGTCTGAATTTCCAGACGGTGTTCGTAGCCAGTAACTATAAACTGCAAAATAAGACTTGCAACATCTGGGATCGCAGATGGAGAATGTAGTTTGAAATGTTTACGAGGAAGCACATTCTCCTTCCATGTAAACTGTGCTCATTTGCTTTGGCTTTGTTTAAAATAAACTGAATTATCATTCCATGGTTATGAATAAGAAGGTCAGGATTTTGCTCATCAGTTCAGCCTCTGTCCAGGTACTCAGACCAACAGTTGGCTGGTTTAAACCTGATGATCTCCCTTGATGCGGATCAGTCTTGTCAGATAAGTTCTCAAATTTAGGATTTCACTGTGATCGTCATTTAAAAGGTAGACTGCAGCCTGGGTGTACTGTGAATACTATAGTAAATGCTGATATGCCATTAGCTGGAAGTTCTGATGGCTTTTGAATAAAGCTCAGCCAATATGAAAACTTGAAAATGTGATAATTTGTGCAATACAATATGTAAATGCTGTTCTAAGGTATGAAAACAGAAGTAACCATTGCACTACACAGGTTGGGCTCTACTAAGTAAAAAATATTGGATGGGGTTACACAATACTTGTAACTACTATTCTCAACCTTTATCTTGGAGCAGGTATTGCAGAAACTTGATTGTGACCCTTTTGAAAAGCCCTTAGGGTCCTTGCTTACCCTAGCAGTATCTGGAAGCAGTTTCTTTAAACATCTGTTGAGGTCGAGAAATTCCCCACTAAAATTTTCTTAATATGTCTTTTCTGCAGGATTCAAACATTACAGTGCAAACTGATAATCCAGACCTAACACCATGTTTTCAGAATACCGTCCTTGCTTGGATCCCCAGTATTTACCTCTGGACAGCCTTCCCTTTTTATATCCTTTATCTGAAACGCTGCAAGAGAGGATACATCGTACTCTCTGTGTTGAGCAGGTTCAAGACGGTAGGATCTTTCTGCAACTCTCTGCAAAACTCTGTGCCTTTGGAGGGGGAGGGGGTTCACATATCTACATGGAAGCAAAGAAATGCGAACTGAAGGCAAACTGCAAGTAAAGGGGAACTGGGTATGGAAATTCCTTGATATTCTGTAGATTATGGTTTTAAGAGCTTTACAGTGTTTGATAACAAGGAGAATCCTTTCACCAGGCACCAAAATCTGGTGAAAAGAATTCAGCCTGAAAACATAAGGCTTGATGCTTACCAACCCACTTGTTCATGGGTCTATGTAAATGCTGTGTCCCTTATGTCTCCTGTTATTTTTTTTTTTTTTTGATCTAGGTATATGCCCTAACAAGGTAACCTAGCAAATATGGTTCTAAATGATCCCTTCTTGATCCTGGCCATCATTTTCCCCTTATTTTACATATACAAACAATTAAGAAATGAATACTTTGGTAGTAAACGGGAAGGTTGACACAAGAGCTAAGCAGATGGCTAGGAAGCTGGACAGGCACCTTTTCCTTCACTTTCCACGTGTGCTAATCAGTTAATTACATGGATTGTAAAGAAATACTTTGCATAGATACTGAACACTGAGGTATCAGGAAGCGTTGCTAGGAATGTAACAAGCCTTGGCTTGTTTGCCACCACCATAAATTTTGACCTTTCTTCCCTCAAACTTACATTCAGATGTGATGCACCAGATGAAGAGAGTGAATAAAAGGAGGGGTAGGGGGAGAGGGTTACAATGAAGAGAGTAAGCCTAGTACAGATTACAACTACGTAAGCAATATTCGTGCCCTTCAGGTTGGGATTGCGTGCTTGAAGACTTCTGCAGTGTTGCAAACCCCAAGTATTGGACGATTCTATATCAGCCTACCCCAAATCATGAGATTGGTTTAAAACCCGTGAGGCTTTATTTTTAAAAATCTTAGTACATTTATGATTTATTTCAGTTGCCTTCTGATTTTTGAGCCTTCTGGATGCCCTTAGGTATTGTATTTTAAACAGTTCAAAGCTTCCCCCCACAAGCATGAGGATTAAAACCATTTTTTTAAATGAATGTTGACATTCTCACACATTTCTGTGCTCCAGGATTTTAAGACAACTGCCAAATTTCAGGAAACCCATGATAAAATTGCATGCTTTGGCAATGCTGTCACAGAGACATGAGCATGTGGCCTGATGTGAACCACAAGAACGCACCTAGTCTACAGGATACAGTTCGCTTTGCTAGAAGGAGACTTGCTTCAAACCATATAGTCCTCATTTAATCTCTACATTGAGGCTATCATTGGTACATGGCCATCATGTTAAGGTCACTTCTCAGAAGTGACTTTTACTTTATGGGTGCAATCACAGTTGGGGACTTTCCAAGTTATTTTGCAGGTCTGTTTATAATTAGCAATGACACAGAGATCTGTCCCAGTTTCAGGTACTTTCTGAACATTTTCTAATTCCCATTATATCCCTAAAAGGTACTGACGTATCATTATTATCCTTGTTGCTCAAACAATAGGAGGGAGAGTTAAAAGCTTGTCCAGTGCCACATTAAAAGCTTGGACAGGGAAATGGAGTCAATCCAAGGGTAAACTTCTGGCCTCCCTGTCCAGAGTATGAATCACTAGATGCATCTCTTTCAAATCAATATCCAGCCATTTCTAATTAATTGGAGCCTGTCTGCAGAAAACAGATAGCTGTTAGGCTTAACCCTGATCACATTTATCACCCCTACAAAAATAAATGAAGCAAGATCCTCAGCTAGTGACTGTTGCAGCAGTTCCATTGATACTAGGATCCCCACCTGGTTTACATCAGCTTTTCACAGCTCAAGTGTAGGGTGCTGCAAACCCTGTTTCTGCATATGTAGAGGGAATGAATCAAATGCCTTTCCCATTTAACACTACTTTTCTTTTAGTTTTTAGGCGTTCTGCTTTGGTGCGTCTGCTGGGCAGACTTGTTCTACTCTTTTCATGAACTCCTGCAAAGCAGAACTCCACACCCCGTCTATTTTGTAACTCCCCTAATTCTTGGCATCACAATGGTAGGTATCAGTTTCCAGTTAGTATTAATAATTAACAACCATACCATTCACTGGGACAAAAAAAGCACCAGTAAATGAATGGGGTAGGAGTCATATATTGTGTTCTGCTTTAAACCGGAGAATCCTGTGGATCAGGACAGCCCCTTGCATTGGCCCTATATTGGCAATGTTGAGAGAAAGCAGAAGGACTGAATGAACCTTGAAAAATGAATTGCTCTCCCAGCCCTAGAGCTGATCGCTTCCTCATGGGTTTGACATGGTAGCAAGATGTTGGTGCGGGGAGCAGAGGTGCTGGCTTTGCCTGCTGCCATGTAGCTTTGTAGCTGATACATGAAGCTCTGGCAGAACCATCAGTCTGGCACATTTCAGCATCATTAATTATTCTTTCTAATTAAAAATAGCCTTGTTAAACCTAAAACGTTAATATTTCAGTTGGGCATGAAAAATATGGGTTTCTCTAGAAAGCCTTAAGTGTAGGCCATCTCCACCTCAATGAGCCCTGAAGCCGTCAGGTTAAAACCTTGCAATGGAAGGGATTGTTCTGCATCACAGATTTGCTAATGAAAATTTTTGCTGCTCTGCCCTAACTGTGGTTCTTGTTTGGAGAGAAGCAATTTGTGTTTTATGTTAGGTTGGTTTTGACCTCATCTGAGCTTGGAAATAACGGACCAAAGCTTGTGCCGTATCAGGCTGTGTCAAACTGGGCAGCCCAAATCAGGCACGTTCTTAACTGGGCAGAAACCAAATTCCTGTTGCTTAAGGTCTCAAAGTGGCTTCAGGTCTCAGACTGGCTTTGAGCTGTGCACCAAAAGGTGAAACACTGATTCATTAAGCTTTTAATTCCCTGTGGAAAATTAAAAACGCAGACAAATTTTGATGTACCTGCCTACAGGAGAGAAGTGACCTGGTGTGGAGAGTTTAAAACCTGTGTCCCTAATAATCACAGCAGTTCCTGAGTGCAGACACGATAACCTGCAGTTTAAAAGTAGAAATAGAGCTCAAAAACCAAGGGCTCTGAAGACAAGGAGAACAATTTATTCCTTAAGGACACTCTTGGCAAAAGAAAGTTTTGCCTTTGACTTCCATTGAAATGAGCTGGGTTTTTACGGGCATAGTTTGCAATTAAGTTTGTAGTGGAGGTTCTGCCATGACAATGGTGATGCAGCTGCTAGGTCTTCTTATGGGCACACAGTGAAAGAGCAACTAGGGAGAGCCGTGAGATGTGTATTCATGCATTTCCACATTTACACTTTGCAGTTATTAGCTGCGATCCTCATTCAGTACGAGCGACTGCGTGGAGTACAGTCCTCTGGCATACTCATTGTGTTCTGGTTTATATCTGTCCTCTGTGCTCTGGGTCCCTTCCGATCGAAAATCATGACTGCAACAACACAGGTAAGCAGATGATTCTAGGGGAATCTAGGGAAGTGTCTCTTGGCTTGGGAGAAGGAGTCACCTGGGTCAGACTGAGATCTCAATATGAATTTTGCCAGAGAAGAAAGGGAAGTTTGGTGTTAGTACCTTGATTCAGTCTCTAAATTAGGGGGAATGTGTTGCTTTACATCCGTATAATCCAGTGGGGATGTTCAAGTGATGCCCCGCTGGAAGCTATGTTGGCAGGAATCTGAGTGCTGCAGCAAATTCATACGTAGCGCACAGTGTACAGCATCCTCTATCTTTTAAAAGAGACTGAGTAGTGAGCAAAGAAATTAATCTGGGCTTCAAGTTGTCCTCCTGAGTCTGAACAGTTTGGCTGCCTTGCACAACTCTATAAAATCCTTGATGCGGGAACAGGCTTCTGACTCCTACAGCGGCTTTTACCAGAAAGCCCCAAGTTAGTAGAAGAAAACAAAGCTTGGCTGTTACGATTCCCATTTTACACACACAGTTGGTTCTGTCATGGTGAGGGAGGGATTGCCAGATCCCTTATCAATTCCCATGTCACAAATAAATAAATTGTATTGCTTCAGTGATCAGGTCATCTCAGGCCTGGTGAGAAAAGTATTTTTAAAATGTTCGTGCGTGCTATTTTTGCCTTGTAGACGTATAGCAAATAATTTGATTATTTTTAATAATAATAATCCTAGTTGGTTATTACTGTTATTATTATTCTCTCAGTAGGAGAGATCTTGATATGCTAAAGTGCATGAAGCACTCCAGTAGAGATTGAATTGAACTGTAAATGGCAGTCTGTGCAATATTCATTTAGACTATTCAATTTGAAAAGTACAGTAACAATGAATTTCCTTGCTGTGGCCCCTGCCACCTCCCACCATTCACCTGGGTGGATACAATTCTATTTTAATTTTAAAAAAAGATGGTCAAAAAAGTAAAAATACTGAATTAGATCATGATGGAAGAGTCTTTATTAGTGACAAATTCTTTAGCAAAACTAAATGTCAAGCTTGGGTACCCTGTAGACATGGAGCTTTGAAACAAAACCCTGGACAACATCTCTTCTACTGGTCTTGCAGTTGCCAAGGGCTAGAAGCCCCCTCATCCTGACATTTAATGATTAGGCATTTTGTATGGACAGTGACAACATCCAGCATTATGTTAGGCAGGATTTTAAAAAACTCTTTAAAGCAGTGGTTCTTGAGTTCCCTCGGCCAACAGAGCACTGCTAACCATCAACATCTCTGGCAATCAACCATGCACTCTAATCAAACTTTCAGTCAACAAGGTGGTGGAGTGGACCCAGTGTTATCTGCAGGCCACAGTTTTGGGAATCAATGATATCAGATATCAGCCTTCCCACTCAACTTCTGGGGGTTGACAAGAAAATGACAGCAAATGATAATGTAATTGTCCAACACGCAGTTCCTTGCATCTTCCTCTGAAAGCATCTGGCACTGCACATTGCTAGAGACAGGAGGCAGGACTTGGTGGATCTGGTGTGGGGTGGTGCAGCGGTCCTGTGTTTCTGCATTAAAGGCATGATCCTGCAAGCATCTTGGGGGTACCCCTAAGGATCATGAAAGCAGCCTTATGCAGAAGAAATCCTACATAAATCCTATGGAGTCATCAGGACTTAGGTAGAAGTTTGATGCACACATTTAGGCGTGTTACCTAACATATCTCACATTTGTAAGAGTTATTCCTGGTAGTTAGTTTTTCAGGATTCACTTCCAGAGAAACAACAGGCTGGCAGTAGGAAGTTCAACACGTTACTTTATGTTGAACTTACACAGCCAAATGAAAGCAATCCTTTACTTCCTTTGCTCTCTTTCCAGGGCCAGGTGAAAGACAGATTTAGGTTTGTAACGTTTTACATCTACTTCGTATTGATAATCATTGAGTTGATCCTTTCATGCTTTAAAGAAAGGCCTCCATTTTTCTCCCCCGTTAATACAGACCCGGTAAGTACTATCTTTTTTATCTGACTATATTCTAGAGACTTAATTCAGCAGCACAAACAAGAAAGTACTAACTGTATTTGTAGCTCCATTATTTTATAATAAACACAAAAAGCACTTGGATGGCTAAGGGCACATTTTCTCAATCGTTGTATATTGGCCTCCACAAAATCAGAAAAGTTCTCATGACTTCTTGTATTTATTTTAAAAATAAGAGTAAAAACTCCCAACAATGATAAACTGGAATAATTATTCCAGGTATGTGTTTCAAGAGGTCAGTGGAAGGTTCTTACCCGTGGAGGGTAAAAGTGGGTGGGGAAGAAAAAAGTGAAATTTTCTTTGCTTGAGATCAGTAACAAAATGTTAAGTATATCGTGATCTTCCCTCCATTTTTCCTGTGACCCTCTGGTTGAGAGAGACTGTTTTAGGAAATAAGCCATAGAAACTTTTGCTTCTAGATCTACAAGTCAAATCCACTTCAGATCAGTCATGCCAGAAGTTGGTTACTGGTCTCATCGCTCAGATGTCTTAATTTACCACTCCAATTTTTAAAATAGTCATTGAATAGCATATTTAAATGTAAGTTGATTGTTCCAAAAGGTACCTGTGGAGGGGTAGACTTTAGTTTGATGAACATCCTTTTAAAGCTGAGTAAAATCTCGGGGTCTGCATCTATTAATATAATAAGCTGTTTTCATAGGAGCTTTGAGGAGATGTAGAATAACCTTACTATATGAAGCAAGTGATGTTGAGAGGTTAAACTGCTACTCAACCTTTCTTAAATGGTCCCCACAATTGAATTTATTTTTGAACCAAGCTGAGAGGGAATGTTCAGGTATAAAATTAATTTCTTCTGAAATCTAAGAATGACATTTCATTTTATATAAGTATGATTCAAAGGCAGCATGAGCTGTGGCTATTAAGGAGTGAAAGGAGCTCTGTATGAGATGACAAATGAAAGAAGTTGTTTTCACATCATGTTAGAGAACGGTGCAGAACTTGCTTTCCACTGTATACCAGAAAAAAATGACTCAAACATCTTGCGTTCTTTTTAAAGCCATCTTACTTCAAATGTGTTGGTATTTTTTCTAAATGCAGAATCCATGTCCAGAGTTGAATTCAGGCTTTCTTTCAAGGTTAACATTTTGGTGGTTTACAAGGTGAGCTTATCTTGTCAAGACTTTTATAACCCATTTTTGGCAAAAAATGTATTGGACAGCTGACAACCAAAAAATTACTCTGGCACTATGTATTAAAGTTACTTGGGCCCAAATACTTGGGCCTCCTGGTTGTTCAGTGTTGCATGCTGTTGTACCACAAGGGGTATCTGCACTTCAGTGGTGGTGGGGAAGGAATTTTTCACAGCTGTCTGGGAGTGGCCAGTGATACCCAGACTATCTTTCAGAAATGTGGAGGTGGAACAAAAAGTGGCATAATTAGGAAGCAAACATCAGGATCTGTTTTTGCATACATCATCCTGGAAAGCTAACAGTAAATAAAGCTAGTTGTGTAGTCATAAGTACATGTTGCAGTACAGAAATAATACCAGCCACCTTTAGTCTACTTGGGGAATGCATTTTATTTCCTGTTGAGATTTGCATATGAGGGTCCACTACCTTCCCACAAAGGACTCTTCTATGTAGTAAAGAAAGAAAGTTGAGTTCTGCATGCAAATGAAAGCTGGCAATGCTAGGGCTCCTATACATGTGCAGGAAGCCTGCTTCAATGCACTGTAATTCCAGTGCATTGGAACAGACTCAATTAATTAAGTCTGCTGGAGCATAGAAATTAATGTGCTCCAGCAGCCTCCAGTGTCATGTGTATCAGCATCCCCATGCTGAAAAATGGCAGCGGGGCACTTTAAATTGTAGCTTGTTCAGCAAGGTTTAGTTCAAAGCACCCCACAACCCTTTTTCAGCACAGGTACACTGATACACGTGATGCTCTGGGTGCTTTTAATTAGCATGGCCTTCAGAGCTGTGCCAATTAAATCACGCCCCCACGCCTCCTGGAGTATGTGTATAAATACCCATAGGTGTTATATGTGGGTTGAAGACACAAAGTTCAGACCAGGATTCAAATCTAAAATTTTTGTTCATCCCATAATAAAGCAATGAGCCCACTGCAAAGTTCACATCTAGACCCAAGCCACCCTTAAAGATTGAGCATGTTGGGATCTGGGCTTTTGACTCAGTCTTACAGGCAGTTATTTTGATGGCCCTGGCAGTGTCATCTTATTAACTATTGTAACAGCCCAGAAAAGCTATTTTTAATAAGGAAGTGAGATGCTTAAAACTCCAAAGGGATTTGAATGCATGATTCCCATGAGAAAGTATCCTCTAAGCAGTTTGAAAACTTAATCCTGACCATGCAATTGAAGAATAATATTTTTCGTTCTTTTGGGGGAAAATCCAATTTTCCTTTAATCATTTGCGTAAGCTTGATTTTGCATGCATTTGACTCAAACCGTGAATCAGGTTTAGCTCTTTTATTTTCCTAACATCTTTGTACTCGCATGTCAAAGCAGAAATCTTCTGCAAATGGTGTTATTGTTTTAAAATGGTTTTCATTTATTTTTTTTTAAGTTGTGACTTTTTAAAAGTTTTTATTTTCATATTAAAAATAGGGTTTTCAACTCAAACTTGGGCCTAAATTTCTTGGCCTCATTCTATTGAACTTATAATACAGTTTTCCCTTTCAGGTCTGATTATTACTTTTAATGTAGAAATGTATGTGCTTTTTTCTTGTCTTTTTTTTTTTTGCCAGCTAACTGGTTTCTCATATTAACGGATACTTTTAAATCTATCATCCAAAATTGATTTGGACTATGATCATTGTTTTTCTGTACGTAGCATGGCAATTCTTGGTTACAAAAGGCCACTTGAAGACAAAGACCTATGGTCACTGAATGAAGATGACACCTCAAAAGTGGTCGTGGGACAGCTGCAAAAAGAGTGGGATAAACAACAAGAAGAATGCAACCAGTAAGTGTTTTAACCATTTAGCAAACAGAGGTCGGTCTCTGAATTATCTCAGCAGATGTTACACATATAAAGAAAAGTTCTACTCTGAATATGAGCTACATAAAAACAGCATCTGTCTACTTGCCCACTCTCTTTTCTGCAAGTATTCAAACTGCTTGAATACAGTGATGGAAACATGAGCTCTGGTTCTCTGGGGCTCATGCTTCACCTATAAAACTCTTGACAATGTTTTTTTAAGAAGTTGACTACACAGGGAAGTTATTGTGCAACAAGCTAGAGCGTGCATTTAAAGCTTCATAGCTGGTGAGTGGACTTAATGTGGACTAAGTGTGTTCACACTGGGAGGCAGTCCAAAATAGGCACTGCAGAATAACTATTCCAGGCTACTTCCTTCTACATACAGGCTTAAGTTTCGAAATGTTACTACTGGTAATGTGAGAGAAACCAGCTGAGTTTACAGCGAAGGAATAGCTGCTAGTTTGAAAATGAACATGTTTGACTGAAGACCAGAGAGATGCAGTAGATAGTAAACCCCATCACTGTTATTCTCTGACTCACTTTTCAGATCAGATATAAAGTGCATTTTCAGAAAGCAACTCCTGCTTGCCCCGGACATGAGAAGACAGATCTTAGCATAAAGTATTGGGCTTGGGAATAAAGAACTAGAAATAAGCTATCTAGTCCAGCTTTTCTCTTGAGGCTGTTAAAGAGATCATCTCAGCAAGTAAAAAAACACAAAAACCAAACAAGACCCTAATCCTTTTCCTAGTGAAGCTAAAGGCTTCCCATAGCCTTCAAAGGTAGTTAAGATCAGGCTCAAAATTTAAATGTATTTAACGTGCTAAATAAGGTATTATTTCACTTGGAAACTCTCAGTCTAATATAGAAATGCAAATATTTGTTTATCACGGTATCTTTCCCACCCACTAAACGGTATCAAAAGTGTTTCTAAGCAGATAATCACTCTGGTGTCAGCTTTAAAGTCATATTAAGAGGGGCCTGATTTTCCATTTCCTCCAATTGTTGAACTCTTTGTTTTCCAGAGAGACTTTGCTCTATTCCCCTGCTCCATGCACTCTTGGCAAATTGGAAAGCCCCCATTACGTTACATTTAATCTTTCATAATAGTGTTTTTGGCAGGGTTAAATATATGAGAAGTTAGGATCCGATTTGCAGCTACATTTTGAAGAGTTTCCAGTATTAACAGCAAAGGCTTTACCTGGTTGTGTTTTCTGGGGGTTTTTTTTAAGTAAGTGTTCAATTTTTATGGTAGGGAGTATTGTGCATTGTATGTGATCTGCTCTCTTAACATACAGACATAATCCAGTTCCTCCAGTGGGCATTTGTGCAATAAGAACACAGACTTCATACAGAAAGGCCTAGAGCACGCCAAAACCTGAAACCGTGCTTGGGTTTTCATCAAAAGTGTCCATGAAACATGGGATGGCTTACTGTGAGCTTTCCCTGAATATGTGACTTGTTATAAGACCAGGCAAACGTTGTGTTAATGGTGCTAATGGTTCTGAAGCTTGGAAGGGATAAAGATGAATGAAAGCCAAGCAAAAGATTCCTGTGAAGCTCATGTCCCAGATCCCTGAGCTTCACATAGCTCTAAAAGCATCTTGTATTGGGTAACTAGGTTTATTTTTTTTTGTTGAAAATTATAGAAATATATGATTAAATTGCCTGCCAGCTGTCAGTTAAATCTATATTGAACAGGCTTGTGGAAAAATGTAGTAAAAATGATATGGCAAGCAGTGGAGTTCATGCATTGAAACTTCAGACTAATGGAGCTGAAAAGGTGTTAGCAAAGTTGATAGTGTCTTAGACAGCGTAGCCGAGGTGTAGTAGGGACAGTTAGGTATAAAGCAGGAGTGGGCAAAATACAGCCCCATCTACTCCCACTGGAGCAGCCCACACCATGCTCCTGCCGATGCCTGCCAGCCTGGGCCCTGGCTAGTGTGCAGTTTCTGGTGGGGCTATTCCTATTGCAGCTTCCAGAGCAGGGTACTGCTCCGCTCCCCTAACCTCCAGCAGGAGCCACTCGGCTAAAGCTGCCTGCCTGCCCAGAGCGGTGCAACGTGGGCATGAACAGGAGGAGGAGCTGCTGCCAGAGGCGAGGGGAGCAGAGCAGCACTCAGCCAGCTGCAGCTGCACCGGGAGCAGGCCCACCACAAGTTACATGCTGGCCGGGGCCTGTGCCAGCGGGGCTGTTCTGCTCCACTCACCTCCAGCTGTAGCTGCTGCTTCTGCCCCTGCCACACCACTCTGGGTGGGCAGGAAGCTTCAGCTGGGCAACTCCTGCTCTGGCTGCCTTCCACCAGCTTTGCCCAATCCCCACCCAGTGCAATGAGCAGCCACCTGCAGGCGGGCAGAGTGGGTGGAAAGAAGTTGGGAGCTGGAGCTCCATGCAATGGGCACATGCCCCCTCCACACACCCCCATACACCCCTTGTCCCCCCACACAGGGCAGGGCATGCAGGGAGTGGTTCATACCTGTCCCACTCCCGAATACAGCTCCCCACCCACCCAAAGCCCCAGAGGGAGTTTTGGTGAGTTGTTGTGGGGGGGCGTGAAGCCGGCCCACAACAACTCATCAAAACTCCCTATGTGGCCCTCGGACCCAAATAATTGCCCACCCTTGTTTTAAAGCATGCTGTGTCTCTGGCACAGCCACAGTTTCAACAAAACAGGGAACTGTTTCTTAATGTTGTATTCCTGTTGCTCCTAAACCAACTTGATGGACGCTTTACATTTAGGTTCATGGCGCTGTCTCAGATCCATCTTTGTTAAACAATTGGTCATGAAGCATTGGAGTTCTTAAACAGAGGTTTTAAATTGTAGGGTGAAAATGAGTATCTTCTTTATTCAGGGGTGTACTTGGTAGCCGTGTTGGTCTGAGACAAAAAGACATATGAAAAACTAGAACTCTCGGTTCCAAAATGATATCTTTTATTCCAGTTGGTGTAATAAAAGGTATCATTTTGGAACCAAGGGTTCTGGTTTTTTGTATGTCTCCTTTATTTGCAGAGGTGCTTCCTGGCTGTGTTTCAGATCCTGTCCACGCACTTGATTGATAAAAGTGCATTGTTGCCCCAGTGAGAGCTACAGAGCCAATCCAGCTGTGAGGGAGGCACCTGGAGTGTGTGTCAGATGCCAGCCAAATTGTTAGTTAAGATCTGAGCGCAGAAACTTTGCTCCTGAGGAGGTTGCTGGCGACAGAAGGCTGTGCTTTCTCAGGCAAGAAAGGTGTGCATCTTTGCAGCAGAGGCGTGGCCATGAAGTTTTGCTGGGAAGGAAATGAGATGTGGTCAGTTTGACACGTTAATATGATGTTGGCCTCACCTAAGTACTTACCAGTAAGAAATGTCTTTTTTCCTCTTAAGATCTTATGAGATAAAATATGGTATGCCAGTTAGTTCACCCTCATTCAGCAGCAAATACAAAGCCAGATGATGCTCAGCATGATTTGTCAAATCCTCTGCTGTTTACAGTCCTGGTGACAAGGAAAAAGTGTGTATGTGGGGTGGTGCGGTGGGGTGCTTGCAAACTAAGCAGATTTGATCTGGAAATTGTATATTGAACCTGGCGAACACTTTGCAACAAATGACTTTCAGCTGGTATACTTTTACCTCTTTGCAAATGGTCTACAAGCAGGACAGAATTTCCGCAGAGGTTTTCATCCCAAATTAAGTGAACATGTTTTTGCTTGTGGACCCTTTGCCAAGGAATCCCTCTGCCTGCATGCAGATTGTTTGAATGATAAGGTGGAGTCACCCCTGTTCCAGTTAAATAACAGAGCTCCAGCACCTGCTAACAAGTGGGCAGCAGGGCATTTTGCCATTCCTTTGAGAGAGAAAGGTGAGGGCCTTACTCCCATCAATGTGGCTGGGACTGAAAGAATCAGTCTCTACTAAATGCTTAGTTCGTGTTTGATGCCCTCCATCAGTAGATCTCAGTGCTCTACAAAGCAGGTAAGTATGTTTAGCCTCACTGTACTGATGGGAATTGGGATTACAGAGAGGAAAAGGGCTAGGTCCAAACAAGATTTTGGCACTAAATTGGAACTTTGAGTGGAGTTTAGGCAGCTGAGTCCAACTTTGCGACCCTGAAAAACCTTGCTCAGCTGGTAGCTAAATTTGGTACTTGTAGTTACTGCAGCTTGTGACCTCAGGAGTTCCCTGATTGCTAAAATGGCAGTCATGATGGGGCTAAGTGGCTCAGTGCCTGTTTCACCCCTAGGTCCAATTGGGATTGGAAAACTAGATAGTCCTCTGCCTTTTTCCCCTGAAAGGCCTCATCCATTACTTGTGCTGAGGATCAGGCTGCACACAAAATAGGACAGCCGTTCATTTTAAAATGTGGCAGAGGGAGAGGGAGGTGGTGGCGATGATCCCTAATGGTTAGGGTGCACACGCAGGGTGTGGGCCACTCTGGTTTGATTCTCCTCTCTGCTTGAGGGAAATGAAACCCACCTCTCCCACCTCCCTGGAGGGTGGCCAGCTATGACTACCAGACTATGAACTATATAAGCATGGGGCATTCTCTACCCCTCTTATTGAAGCTGTCCCAGTATACAGGGGGAAAAAATTAAGATTCATTGAGCCAGGGCCAGCGTGACTCTGCCCTAGGTCTCTTTGTGGATCTAGTATAAAGTGACTTTCCCAAGGCCACAATGAAGGCTGGTGGGAGAACCAAAAACAGAGGCCCAGTTGTGTCTTTGGTGTCCTTGTTGGGTATCCTATCCACAGTGGGCACTTTTACACGTGCTCTGGAGGGTAGGGGGATGGCACTTTAATTAGAGAGGCTCCAAGAGCTGCTCCAAGCACCACCATGTCTCATTTATTGGTGTCCCTGCGCTTCAAAATGGTGGCGGGGGTGCTTGAACTAAATCTCATTCGAGGAGTTTTAGTTCAAGTGCCCCACCGCCATTTGGAAGCACGGGGACACTGATACATGAGATGCAGGAGGCTGCTGGAGCGCAGTGATGGCCATGCTCCAGCTGACTTGATCGAGGGAGTCTGCTCCGACACGCTGGCATTGCAGTGCATAGGAGCAGCCTCTGTGCTCGTGTGTAGGTGCCCTGTGCCACGTGGCATCCATAATACTGTTATTTTCAGCTGACTATACTTGCTTGTTCCCTGCTTCCTAGGAAAGAGGCCAGGGCATACGTGAATAAATCTAGCTATGTGCTGAACCATGTGGGTGATGGCCCAAATGAAGCAGAACCTTGGATTGACAATAAGAAACAGCATAAACAGCCCTCCTTCCTCAGAGCATTGCTACGGGCCTTTGGGCCATACTTCTTGATTGGCTCATTCTACAAGCTGATCCAAGATCTACTTGCTTTTGTCAACCCTCAGTTGTTAAGGTGAGTTTCTCCTGCCAGTAGTTTGTGCACACAGTCCATGTGTAACCCTGGCTTCAGAGAAGAACTGGGTTCTTGCAATGCACAATTGGTTTCCCCCACAACAATGCATGTCCAAGCCTCATACTTTTCACATCAAAATGGCAAGACAGGCCTCCTTTCATATCTGTGAAGTGGTAAATCAGGCTTGGCAAGGACGCCTACCAGTGAAAACCCAGAAACCAGGGGTTGTAGCTAAAGGGCAGCTGTGCGCTAAAAACAGTCTACTGCAGGGTTGCCCAACTGCAGCCCACAAGGGGTTAATATGCAGCCCTGGGGCTCCTACCCAGCCACTGCTCCTCTTATCTCTCCAGCTACCTCTCCACCTCCCTCCCTTAGCTTCTGCTTCATGCTCCCACCCAGGAGACGGGGCAGCACAGCCCATGATGCTGAGGGAGCCCACAGCACAGTGTGGTACAGCGAGGGGGCCGAGGTGGGGGCCATCCATCCACGCACAGTGTAAGGATGTGGTGGGAAGGCACTCCCCTGCATGTTGTACAGCCGTGGTGGGGGGCTAGCCACATGTGTAGTGCAGCAAGCTGTGGGGTGCAGCCCAGGGGCCCATGGCTTCCACTGCTATAGCACTTGCTGGTGCAGCCCCTGGACACTTCCACGTTGGACAGGCCTGGTCTACTGTATTTTGCATGGCAGCCCAAAGTGGTTTCTTCTTTACTGGGCAGGAACATTGCAACTAGGTTGTAAGACTGTGGCAGAGCAGTGCATTCTGGGACCAGTCGATTTTTGGGTACATGTGATATCTGTATCAGTGATGAAGGCAGCTGCAGTATACTTCGTTTTGTACAAATTGTGGCCATGAAGCCTTTTGCTAGTCAGGCGCTCCTAAACACATCCCTAGATGGAGTTGTCGGCACAACCGTGTGCATTTGTAGGTCCAGGTGGCCATGGGTGTTGAACCACAGGCCGTGGGTTTGGGAAGCCAGGAGGCTACCTATTGGGTGGTGGCTGTGGTGAGAACAAGGGTGAGCAGATGGAATAAATTTTTCTTGCAACACAAATAAGAAACAAGATACTAAAAAGAAGGCCCCGCCATGAGTGAGAATCTGGTCAGTAGCTTCTTCCCCCCTCCTCTCTCTCTCTCTACCTGTGGTAAACCCCATAAAAACATTTTCCTTTCCTGCAGCCCAAGCCATAAAGGACACTGCACCATCATAAAGTGGCTGGTATTCCACTTCTCTTTGTTCTGCTGAATTTGCATGATGCACAACTCCTGAACTACAACGAGTGTAATGATGGAAATATCAGAGTTTCAGGGAACCACAGTTGCTTGTCGCCAAGGTGTTGGCATTATCTAGTTATTTGTGAAAGATGCATGGATGTTTTAAATGTTTCTGGAAAGAAAACAGAGCCTGCATTAAAGTCGCAAAGGACTATGGGGAATTGGAGAAGAGAGGACTTCTGCTAGCTCTACACAGAGCATTTTCTGATCTTTGCAGATCATGCTGCCACGTGGGTGGTTTGCATAACACTCAGGAATTTGATAGGAGGGGGACCCGGTCCAATATTTCTCCATTTTATAGTTCACAGTCAGCATCGTGGAGGAGGTTGCTAGATGGTTTCAGAGAGAGAGTTGTATCCTGGGAACGTCTCAAACCTGCGTAGATGCAAAAACATGTTTAATGTCATTGTCAGTCATATCTCACGGCAGGCCGTGGCAAATCTATGCAGGCATCTTAAATTCCTGTGAGCAGCCCCAGGAAAAATATTGTGGTGCCAGGGAAAAGGACAGCTGTCTGGCAAGTTTCTTTTCACATAAAATAATTTTACATTCCTAGCAGGATCACTAGGTTACATACTGGGTCCATAAGCAAAAGCTCGTAGAGTCTGATTGCATCATATCTGTCGGTCGGCTGCTGCCTGGGAGGAAAGATAGGGGCCAAAAAGGAGCGTTTATTTTTGGCCTCCTTGTTTTTACACTGTTTGGGACCTGATCATTAGTTTCAGCAAGACAGCATAGCTTAGCTAAAAGTCATTGGATCGATGTCAGTCCGCTCCAGCTGATTATGTGACCCTTTACATCAAGTCATAGGTCCTCCATTTCTCTGACAGGTATGGTAGCAGCTTTGAAATATCTGATTCACGGTACCACGGTGGTAGTTTGAGCTGCATGACACTGTGAGTAGCATGGTGTTGCAGTGCGCATGAATTTTCTTAGAGAGGCCAGATGGTGAGCAATGCCTGAGAGAGGCTGGAGTTCCCCACCGCCGGGTGCTCATGTCAGTGTTTGGCAGCTGCATCTCTGAAATGTTTGAGTAAAATGGTAGCTCGTCTTGTATCCTGGAGAATTGTTTGCCATTTGTGGTTAGAAGGTGGCTGTGACAACCTGCCATGGCTAAGGGAATATATGACAACCTGCCATATATTGTTATGTCCCATTAATCTTTCCTCTTCTTGTGTTTTATTTCCCCTGAACTATCTTAAAAACAGTGTGTTAATTGTCTTCATTAAGAATAAAGACGCTCCTTCCTGGTGGGGATTTTTCATTGCAACTCTGATGTTCATCTGTGCCATGTTGCAGACACTAATCCTTCACCAGCATTTCCAGTACTGTTTTGTTACTGGGATGAGGCTGAGAACAAGCATCACTGGGCTGATCTATAGAAAGGTAAGACTGGAAGCATTTAAATTGTTCAATGCTTCTGTGTATAGTCAAGCTTCAGTCATTGGATAATCATGGAAGAACAGATACACGATTATGGGGAGAAAGCAGCCTTCTGGAAAATAGAATGAATGCTCATTTTTTTAAGTGTCTTAATAAACCTTATGCTGCTTTTAGCAAAAAGCAGCTCAACGTGGGTGTGTTGACAGGCCATCACGCATACACACTTAAGTATTGGCTTCACTTAAATATTGAAAGAATTGTGTCCTTAGATTGGGAAAGAACAACGTTTCATGTTTTGACTTTAAGAAAATAATAATCTAGCAAAGAGGCACCCTGAACCTTTCAGGCTGGGGGAGCTCAAAAGCAAAATGCCTCATGAAATCCTATCCCTACAAGTGAATTAAAAAATGAGTAATGACTGACATCATTGTTTTATGGAGAAACATTTGCTTAGCAGAGTGCCTGCCTTTCTTCATGCCTGAAGATTGATTCGAGGTTCACAGTCCTTGCGGTCTCTTTTCATTTTCCAGTCCTTAGTCATCACCAACTCAGCAAAGCACACCTCCACTGTGGGAGAAATTGTCAACCTGATGTCAGTGGATGCTCAGCGGTTCATGGATCTGACGACTTTCCTGAACTTGTTGTGGTCTGCGCCAGTTCAGATCATTCTAGCTTTTTACTTCCTCTGGCAGGTACAGAAATTTTTCTGTTTCTATGCCAGGGACATGCAGATCATTTCTTTTTCTTTTTTTTTTTTTTTACATCTACTGCTTTTGGAAACTTCCATTCATTATCTCTTGCTTTGGTGTAAATGATTTACACTGGTTTACCAAATTAACTGGATTCAGCTGGACAGCCAGAAGAAAATGTGTGAAGCAAAAAAATTACCTATTATATAATGTTTCTGCTTCTGTAGCTCGTGAAAACTTGTGTAATATAATATACATATCATCTACTTGAGTTAGTCTAAGGTGCATATTTACCCTGCCTTGTACTTGACTTCAGGCTAATACAGCTAACTATGTCTAGCATCTCAGCCATTGATCCTTATAGCTTTCTACACATACCAAAGAGAGCAGGATAGAAAGATAACGTCATAACTCAAGGAAGTGTCCTGGGGTAGATAAAGTATATTTTAATGTATAAGGAAATGTCATGCAAAACAATACAGACAACATTTCAGACTAGCACATAGAGACACCACCCACCTGCTCCCATAAAGTTGCATCCACTTCATGCATGTTAAATTGTAGCTGTTTGTGGACAAAGCATTGTTTTCCAGCACTTTAAAAAAGTTCTCTTGTGTCAAACTTGTTAAGCCTGCATGTCCCAATTTAGACCCCAAGTAACAGACATACAAGTGCAGTTACATTTTAAAGAAAAGGGAGAGAAAAGAATTGGAGAAAGAAATAATTATTATTCCCACTTTACAGATGGGAAAGCTGAGGCACAGAGCAATTAATGATTTGTTGCAAGGTCACATTTGGCGGGGGGGGCAAAATCAGAACATAGGATGCTTATATACCAGTCCAGCACTATATCCATAAGACAGTCCTTTTCCTAGGCTCAATTGTATCTGCCATTGTGAGATTTCAGGACTTACTTTCAAAATCAATGTGATTTCAATTGCCTGAAATCAGTGGCTGGTTCCAGAGAGAGAGTATGCTGCATGGTTAAGTAGCACTTTGACAGTGGATTATGTGGTATTGTTATCTCTGGAGGAAATTTGTTTTTCTGACTGCATGAAAGTAGACTGCAGCAGTGGATTTTCGGGTGCTATACTGACTATCAGCTTCCTCTTCCTTACTTCTGTGAAATAATACCTTTGTGGTACCCAATGAAAGGCAGTGATGACATTGTAGCCCTTTCTAGTGAACTGCAGGAACCCATCCTGTGACTCAACCTAAAATTGTTGGTGACTAGAAAATGCACCAGTTACATTTTCTGGCTCAGAGAGAAGTCAGAGGAAATCCACTCCCTGACTGTATATATACCTGAAACATCTCCATGTACTTTTATTTCTTTTTCTGCTGCTTGCATTTATTTTCTACAGATATCAAGATGCTCTGCTTACATTAGTCCACACCCATATTCTCTTCCTACCAATAAACAACTTAAGAAATAAGTCCTGGAGTTCTTGGGCATCATCAGTGCTAGTATAGAAAGTCATAGCTTAGGATCATGCCATGACAAAGAAGTTATATAATGAGGAGAAGGGATGTAGAGCCAGGACCATTCACTGGAAGGATGGGCGCTCAATCTGTCTTCTGTTAGTGAAGCAGTTCATTGCTCTTTTCAGGACTATGTCTTTTTAATACTGCCTACAGGAGAAAGCATCATTCCAGGAAAGCGGAAACTTATATTTTTCTTTTCTTCTTCAAGACCTTAGGGCCTTCAGTATTGGCAGGAGTTGCAGTGATGATTTTGCTTATCCCATTCAATGCTGCAATTGCTATAAAAACTAGAGCATTCCAGGTAGGTAAGACACACAAATATCTTGTAACCCAAGGTTGAAAGTCCCTCTTAATTTTTTTTTTAAACAAATTACCTTCTCATGTTACTGTGAATTATTCAGTGATTACAGTTTTAAAATCCTTCAATTTGATATTGATTATTTTCCCCATTGAATTTGCTTGGTTTCATGTCTGCATGTCACTAGACTTGGGCACGGAAGCCAGACAGGCTATGTTTCATTTCCTCATTCTTGCACGGTAATATGATGCTGCTGTTTAACTTGGCAACACTGCACGGGAGTGCTTAAAAGCATTCATTGAAATGTGGAGACAAAGTTTCCTTTTCCTTCTTTTTTTTTTTTTTTTAAATGCTGTTCCACCCTTAAAAAAAACACCCAAAACTTATAGCCCACTCTAGACCTCAACTGCATGAGAGTGCACCCTTTTTATGGAGTCCTTTCTTCTTTGACTTGTTTTTGGATCAAAGCCAGGGTCTGAAGAAAAGGGCTTCTGAAGGAAGTGTAAGTGAACGATGAATAGGTCCCTGTATGGGTCTCTTGTGGGATCAGGCTGCAAGGAGGGCAGCTTTATGGAAAGTCGGACTATTGTTTTTGCTTTGAGTTCATAAAAGGAAATGTAAGACCTAGTCTGGGTGAGACAGAGAGGTCATTAGCAGATAAAAACTTTGCAGGTTATCTGCGGCATCTTATCATAACTTGTTTATGAGCCCAATAGCAAGCTTAATTTTAGTTTGTGCTGATGCTTTTGATGCTAATGGGAGATTATACTTATGATTTTAATAGCCATGGTTTTTCAAATAGGCCTGCTGCACTGAGTTGGATCCCTTTGTCAAGTGAAATCTGGCAATGTTCAATAAGCGTCTTGATGCCCACTTGCTGGGGTCATCTGATCCCATCAGTTTTTCCTGCCCAAGTGCAGGGGGGCTGGACCCGATGATCTGTAAGGTCCCTTCCAGCCCCTAACAACTATGAAACTATGAAATGTGCAGAATGGTGCCCTGTGCACCTGCACTGTGATGGGACAGTTTTGTGATGAGAGGATACTTACTCTTCCATCCGACTGCTGCCCTCTATTATGAGTGACTAGAAAGAGGCCAAATGTACGGGTATCTTGGAGCTGTTCACTTCTGTCATCTAAGATGGGAACTGAAACTGCTACCTCCTTTCTCACATCCTTCTGAGCAGCTAACAGATGATCACTGCCAACCCAGGCCGTGTTGAACCAATGACTTCAAGGTGAAAGGATCCTTTATTCTTTTAGTGGTGATCTTAGTTATCCACAATTGCACTTTCACTTGTAGGTAAAAAAAAAATCTGGGTCATAGATTGTGGTGAATGACAGGATATTTTCAGAGTGTATTGTGATTATTTGGACAGTTGATAAAAATAAAAAATTAGCCCTGGAGGTAAAATGTTGCAAGAGTTGGAAAACGAGTGTACAGAAGGGCACAAGGTGCAGCTTTAGTAACAGAACAGTATTGTTATGTTCCAGAGAGCCTTTTGACAGCTAGACTTGCCAGTGGATCTACTTATTAGTCACTTGCTAATAAATATTAGCCTTCCTTTTCTCCCTTGCCCATAAGAAGATGGAAGGGGCTGCATAACTGTGTATGTAAAATTTGTCATTATCTTTATACTGAGTGGGTAGATGATTTTGGAGTAACCAAATGAGTTGTACTTTCGTAGTTGTTAGGGCCTGGAAGGGACCTTACAGATCATCAGGTCTGGCCCTCCTGCACTTGAGCAGGACAGGCTGCTGGGATTAGATGACCCCAGCAAGATGGGTGTCAAGAGGCTTTTTGAAAATCTAATGAAGTAAGGAGTACCCAAAGCTTTAGATAGGCACTTTCAACATAAAGCAAAGACCTAGTCTGGCTTTTCAAAAGTACCTACATTTCACTGAAAGATACATTTGAAAATGTTATCCCTAACTAATAAATGTCATTAGTATGCAGTTCTGTCTCTGCCTTAAAAAAAAAAAAAA